CTTCACCACCACGCCGTCGTGCTGCTGCTGGATGGAGTCTTCCCCAACCTCTCCTTCTCCCCTTGCTGGATCAAGGCATAGGAGACGTCACCGGGCTGCACGTGTGTTGAACGCGGAGGCGCCGTGGTTCGGCGCTTAGATCAGAATCAACCGCGACGTGAATCGCTATGAGTACGACTCCTTCATCCGCGTTCTTGCAACGCTTCTGCTTAGCGATCTACAAGGGTATGTAGATGCACTCTCCTTCCCCTCATTGCTAGATTACTCTATAGATTGATCTTGGTGATGCGTAGAAAATTTTAAATTTCTGCTACGATCCCCAACAACCTATATACATGATCATACCTAGATATTCTCATAACTATACTCAATTCTGTCAATTGCTCAACAGTAATTTGATCACCCACCGTAGAATACTTATGCTCTCGAGAGAAGCCACTAGTGAAACTTATGGCCCCCGGGTCTATCTTTATCATATCAATCTCCTACTACTTAGTTATTTCCTTTGCTATTTACTTTGCCTTTATTTTACTTTGCATCTTTATCATAAAAATACCAAAAAAAATTTATCTTATCATATCTATCAGATCTCACTCTCGTAAGTGGCCCTATAGGGATTGACAACCCCTATTTGCGTTGGTTGCGAGGATTTATTTGTTTTGTGTAGGTACGAGGGACTCGCGCGTAGCCTCCTACTGGATTGATACATTGGTTCTCAAAAACTGAGGGAAATACTTACGCTACTTTGCTGCATCATCCCTTCCTCTTCCGGGAAAACCAACGCAGTGCTCAAGAGGTAGCATCGCCCAGGAGCCGCCGCCCTCTCCCTGCCATCGCGCTGGCGTCCTACCAAAGGAGCCTCGTCCCGCGCCGCCGCAGATCGCCCCACCCTTGCGCTGCCGCTGCCTCGCCAACCCCGCCGGCCACGCCATCCCGCCGCCGCCCGAGCCCGCCCCGAGTACCCAGCGCCGATGGTTGCCACCACCGTCTCGACCCCGTGCGCCACCATCTCCTGCCAACCCCGTCTGGCCCTACTCCGCTCGCCGGCGCGCCACCGCCTCCTGCCGACCCCGTCGGCCACGCCATCCCGCCGCCGCGCGAGCTCGCGCCGAGTACCCACCGCCTCGACCCCGCGCGCCACCGCCTCCTGCCGACCCCGCCTGGCCCTACTCTGCTCGTCGGTAGGTGTGCCTGGAGAGAGAGAGAGAGGTGAGAGAAACCTGACAAGGGGGCCCCATCCAGGTCAAAACCGCCGCTGACTAGTGCCACATCAGCAGAGGGTGGAGAAAAACCAGCCGAGGGGGTGTTTTGTCCGGTTTAGGTTTGTTTTTTGGGGGGTTGGGGGGTAAAAGAAGCCGAAAAATAGATCAGGGTAGTAAAATTGACTTTTTTCTTCTATTGTCATAAAACACTATTATCTACTAGATCGAAATCCTTCTGCCATTAGACTGCAAATGCACTTATGGTCACCTAAGGTTGTGTATTATGCAGACTAATGGTTATTTTAGTCTAGCTGATATCATAAATGATTAAATGAAAGAACCAAATCTAGATGATCATCGTTTTCCCTCTCATTATTAACCTCATATTTTAACTCTACAATGGGATGTCTTACCGACAATAGAGCAAAGTGATCTCCTTTGATTTTTTTTCTTTTGATCCATCCTACTCGAGCATGTTGACTGTATTACAGATCGGCTTAAACATCTTTTGAGAAAAAATTGATTCATTTTGTGCATATATCAAACTGTTTGCTTTAGAGGTTAGTTGTACTCTTACGATGGTTAATGGAGCTGCTACTACTGTAGAAGCAATTGATTATTCGGTACGCACATCGTATAGTCTGCTTCGCCCCTATGGTTCTCTTTTTTATGTGTGATTACCACACCATAGTGTTCTTCACAGTACCTATTTAATTGTTTTCTTTCCAATAAATCATAGATAGGAAGATGCCACATTATTACTCCTAAATACTTGTCTTTCTAGGCATTTCAACAAATGACTACATACGGAGCAAAATGAGTGAATCTACACTTTAAAATATGTCTACATACATCCATATGTAGTAGTCATTTGAAATGTCTAGAAAGACAAATATTTAGAAACGGAGGGAGTACATTATAGCTGAGAAATAGTGGCATGTCAAGTCCAAGTGTAGTCTCATCTAGTTGGCGTGCATTTGCTGAATGAAGATGCTTGAGGTGGTTTTCATTTCCCGACGTGTAAATTATTATATGTTAGACCGAGTTTAGTCTCTTCCTAACAAAAGGTTACTCATTTGAAAGGTGTACCATAACTCACCCTCCTTTTTAGTTTTTCCACTTTGGTAAATCAACAAAACATTGTTTTCTTACAGGCGAATGCTAGGTGAGAATATCTGTTGTTCTATATCAGGCCAATCTATATATTTTTCTCTCCATGAGTCATCTCTATCTCTATAAGGCGGTGTTACAAATGGTTATTTTGCAGAAATGCGTTCTACATTCATGTTGTTAGCGCTGTGCTGGCTCCTTTAGAACACGGGGAAAGCATGTCAATTGATTTTCTCTAAAGATGATTTGCATCTGAAAAGAATACACTTGGCCTCAAGCTTACATGACGCAGCACAAGAAGACTAATACAGCCCACTAATCCTTGGGTGCAGCAGTAGAGTGAGGCAATATCGTTGAAGAGACATCACCGGATCCGTGGCGCAATGGTAGCGCGTCTGACTCCAGATCAGAAGGTTCTTTTTCTTGTCTTCCTCCACCGATTTTTCCACCCACCCGTCCTCTCTGAGATTCGCGCCGGGTCACTGGTGTCACTCTCCTCCCTCCCCCGCCCACAGCCCCCACACCAGACCAGCGCGGCAGCCGCCATGGATCCACCAACCAGCGCTGCCCACCACAGCCCCGACGACGAGGCGGCCGCCTTCTTCCGCGCGGCGCCGCCCCTCCGCGACCGCGACGCCGTCGCCGCCAGCCTCGCCGCCTTCGTCGCCCGCCACCGCGCACGCTCCGCCGCCGGCAAGTCGCCCCCGTCGAATCAATCCCCAATTTTAGGTTCGCGCACGCTCCGCCGGAACTGAAAGACGGTTCTTTTTGTGTGCGCGCTGCAGGCGCCGGCGCAGGAGGAGGAGGAGGGCCCCCGGCGGTGGCGGGGGTGGTCTGCGTCACCTCCGGCGGCACCACGGTGCCCCTGGAGCAGCGCTGCGTGCGCTACATCGACAACTTCAGCTCCGGCCAGCGCGGGGCCGCGTCCACCGAGTATGTAGTACAGTAGCACTTACTACCGATGACAGCCGCTTCCCCTGACTGTCGCGTTTCGGCTTGTTCAGACTGACAACTGTTGGTGCAAATGCAAATGCAGGTATTTCCTAAAGGCCGGTTACGCCGTCATCTTCGTCCACCGCCGGTGAGTCTTTCTGACCCAGAGATTTCTCAACGAGGCTACCTCAACTAGTCAACCAATTTTTTATCCGGATGCTTCTAGCCTAGTTAGTTTCTACGAGTAGCAATTTTTTATTCAGTTATGAATGTCAACAGCGAGTTGACAGTTGACACTCCCTCTGCTCCCCTTTGCAGCGGGAGCAAGCAGCCTTACTGCAGGTTTCTTCCGGAGGACTCTTTTCTCGACCTTTTCGAGCTCGGCGAAGGATCAGAGATCCAAGGTCTGTTGATTTGGTCTGGTGATTGCAGTCCTGAGTTATCCATGTCATGCAAACCGTACCAGATCCATCTGTGCTTCTTTCTCAGTCTTGTCATAAATCCACACTTGTTTCATGTTCTTTACCTCCTGTGTTCTTCTTTCTCGTTTATTTGGTCTTCGAACCTTCTCACTTGAATGCTCTGCAGTAATTTAAGTAAATGACTCTGTATCCTGCTTTTGAACTTATGTGCTCACTTGAGCTACTTGTCTCAGTCCCAGAGTCTCACACCACGGTGGTCAAGACAGCGATCAGCAGTTATCGCAAGGTATATCGATAATTTACAAACACCCCTATTTATTTATTTATGCCGAATTCACTTGTGATGCATCAGCTGCCACTCAGATTGAAGACATGTTACCATGACCACTGGCTTGTATTCTTGGATTGCAGGCAATCGATGAAGGTCTACTTCTGAAACTTCCTTTCACCACAATTTTTGAGTACCTTCAGGTATTGCACGCCTATTTCCTACCAGCACATGCTGCTACATTTTATACTGCCCATAAAGCATTTTTGTAGTATGTTGGATCAGAGATGGTATATTACTGTCTTTTGTGGTTTCTCATGAATTCATCAGAGCTTTGGTTCAGTGCCTTACTGGGTTATGCTGAGGATAATGTTGGAAGAAAACTACTCCCTCTGGTCACAAATATAAGACTTTTTCTGAATCGGATGTACATAGACACGTTTTAGTCTGTTTGTTCACTCATTTCAGTCCGTATGTAGCCCATATTGAAATATCCAAAGCATCTTATATTTGTGAACAGAGGGAGTAGGATATAATATGTTTTTTTTTTGCACTCGGTCTTAGAAATGGAATGTAATACTTGTGGCAACTAGTCATTTATTTATTTATTCAGTAAAAGCTTAGCTACAGGTTCATGATGCGTTCACCCTGTGAATGAGATACTGATGCAATACCTGTTTCTGTTTGTATTGCCAACAGTTACTGCAGCTTGTATCCACTGCTATGAATTGCTTGGAGCGCCATGGAATGTTTTATTGTGCAGCTGCAGTGTCTGACTTCTATGTTCCATGGGAGAGTATGGTAGGATCTATCTTCATTTATTTTTTTGTATGCTCACTATTTATATTTAAACAAACCAATATGCTAGTGCATAGCGGATGATCACAACGATAGGTTTCTATATTGCCATCGTCAGTGTACTTGATTTATAAATTTGCTTTGTCGTTGTGTAGAGGGCATAGCAAGGTTTAACAAGTCACTTGGTCCAATGAAAATCAGTTTGTTGAAAGGAAAACTTATGCGATAAAAATGTTCAAACTGCCTCGATGCTTAATGTTTATTGTCCTCTTATGCTGCCGTGTTGCCTGATAATTTAATAGATTAGCGTGCATCATGTTAGGGTTACCTGAAAACACAAAAATCTTGAAATCCTACCTCCCTACCAAGATTCGCATTTGCAGACGGAGGGGAGTGACAGAAGTGACATGCACAAGTAGTTGCAGCTTCGCAAACATTATGGCACACATACTTGTGGTGGTATTGCACTAGTATCTGGAGGTTAATATTTGTTGATAGCACTCAGAGCACTGGTCCGTGAAACGTCTGCTAAGATACATAATGATTTGGCACCATTACAAGGTCCCATTTCTTATTCCTCCAGACACAATCGTTATCGCAGGCTAAACATAAAATTGAGTGAGCAGGTGGCCCTTTGAAACTGGTTTATCAACAAAACGTTTATATTTAAACAAACCAATCAGTTAGTGCCTAGCGGATGATCACGACGATAGGATTCTATATTGCCATCGTCAGTGTACGTGGTTTATAATTTTGCTTTGTTCGTTGTGTAGATGGTGTGGTAAGGTTTAATGAGTCACTTGGTCCACGAAAATCAGTTTGTTGATAGAAAAATATATGTGAGAAGAATGTTCAAACTGCCTCGATGCCTAGTGTTCATTGTCCTCTTATGCTGCCATGTTGCCTGATACTTCTTTAATAGATAACCGTCCATCGTTCAGCATCATGTTAGGCTTACATGACAACACACAAATCTTGAAATGCTCCCTCCCTCCCGAGATTCGCATTTGCAGGAGGGGAGTTACATAAGTGACACGCACAAGTAGTTGCAGCCTTGCAAGCATTATGGTACACATACTTGTGGTGGCGTTGCACTAGTATCTGGAGGTTACTATTTGTTGATAGCTGTCAGAGAACTGGTCCCTGGAACTTCTGCTAAGATACATAATAGTTTGGCACCATTACAAGGTCTCAGTTGTTTTCATCCCTGACACAAGCATTATCGCAGGCTAAACATAAAATCCAGTCAGCAGGTGGCCCTTTGAACATGCAGCTCAGTCAAGTTCCTAAGATGCTTTTCATCCTCAGAAACCATTGGGCCCCTTCTGCATTTTGTGTATCCTTCAAGGTCAGGTTCTTCGTTATGTCCTTTTCCTGCACCTTCTAAATTCTGTAAGCTAGTAATGGCTACCCCCTTTTCTGCTTTCAAGAAAAGTAACCAAACTCATTACTTCCTGTAAGTGCTGGCATACTATGATCTAGATCCAGCATAATGATTCTGATTGTCCGCAATGCGTACCTGCAAAACTGCAGCTCGAGACGGATCCAGACATCCTTATACAGAAGGCAGAGGCGGCTTTGAGAAAGTATGGTATGAATGTGGTGGTGGCGAATGAGCTAGCGAACTACAAAGACGTGGTTGTCATGGTCACAAGCAGCGGGAAGACGACCGTGAGCAGGCGGAGCAAGGAAGATGACCTGGAAGAGCAGCTCATTGGTCTCCTGGTTAAGATGCATTCAGATCACACTAAGCAGTCCAATCCGGACCAAGAGAAATGAGCTGTTGTCTTGATGAATAAGGAGTTGCTACAAGTTATTGTGCTCATTGGTCTCCTGGTTTAATTCACGTACCAGTAAGTGGAGTAGCATTCTCTCTTGAGAATCGCACGCGCGATCATCTCCCTTATCCCTTATGTTGTGCTACACCGTCTGTGATGCCTGTCTTTATCGACGTCGGCGGTGGTTTGGATTGGACAAGTCTCACCAATTCAAACCCCAAATCTGAAATGTGTATATTTTGAGAGATTCAAATTTGATTAATGGGAATCTAGGCTCCTTCGCCTGGACTGCATAATCTACCATAGGTAGGTTACAGCAGCTTCAAATGTACGTATACAGGGATCGGCACCATTGATGGTTCAACCAATTCTGTAGTGAATGTTACCGAAAAAGGGTTCCCCGCTTTGTATTACAAAGCAACAACATCGATACAACCAACGATAGGTGCTGGGGCGGAAGCAGCACAGGCACGCCCAAAAGAAAAGAAAGAGAAAACACAAAAGGAAAAAAAAAATGCCGACAAAGGCGGATCAACGAAAACGAAGATGACTTGCAACCGCTGCGCCTGCCGGAGAATTCCACCACGCTCCTAGCACCACAAAACGCCGCATACCAAGTAACACCTTCAAGAAGGAACGCGACGACAACGACGCTGCTACCGGACATGGCCTAGGGTTTCCCCCGGTACGCGAAGGGCCGTGGGAGGGAAGGGGGATATCCGACGCCCTTAAGGAAGGCACGGCGGCGCCCACGGGCGTCACCGCGTCGGTGCCGAACAAGCCGACAAGGATTTCTCCCAACCTCCAACCAACCACGACCCCAGACGATCCATCGCGCTCCACCATACTTGCCGTCCACCAATATGCGCCACCACGGACTCGCAATCACCATCGCCGTCTCACCGTGACAAGCGAAGCGAGACCGGCGGGATCGAGAGGAACCAGCCGGAAACGAGGAGCAGCAGGGTCAGCGGCCACGTGGGAGGGGACAACCTCCACCACCCTCGGCGGTGACCGACCGGATGTAGCTCAGGAGCAAACCAGGCACCCCTGCCCGGCCGAGCCCGAAGCGGGCTCGTGAAGCTCCCGTCGCTGCGCTGCAGTACACGCGCCACCGTCTCCGCCACCCCCAGCCCAAGCCTCACCTCCGTCCGCCGGAGATGACGCCGGAAAGCACACGCCAGGCCCACCCAGACCCAGATGGGGCACAAAAGGGCCCAGATCTGGGCCGGAAGGGCGCCGCGGCCCGCCATCGCGCCGCCCTGCAGCCAAGCAGCCACACCACCGCCACCTTGCCACCCGGAGCTGCGCCGCCTGCGAAGACGAGCCGCCACCGGATCCGACGCTGGCCTGGGTGCACCGCCGCCGGCGCCATCGCCCGAGCTACAGCGCCACGCGGGGAGGAAAAGAACGGGGCCGCCGCCGCCGGCATCACGCGAGCCAGGCC